AATGAGTTTAATAAAGTAGAAAAACAACAATTTAATTTACCATTAACATTTGTTTCACCAGTAGGATCATATCCATTCATTTTAGGTTTAAACTTTTTGAAAAGTTTACAAGGTTTTTTATATATGAACCCTAACATAACATTTTTCAAAAGAGGTATTACAATAACTGACCAAAATAATGTTGTAGAAGCATACAAAAGCATAAGTATAGAAGAGTCTAGTGGCCAATATAGTTATCATTTAGAAAACTCAAAAGAAAATTATGAGCATAATAACGTAGAAGAGTTTGATGAAGACATATTTGAGCATGAATATCCGATTTTAGAAGAAGGAAACCGTATAGAAATATTACAGCTAAGTAAACCAAGGAGTTTAGAAGAATTATTACAATTAGCAAAACAAACTAGAATTATATGAGAAGATCCACAGTTACATTGGAGTAAAAATAGAAATGAACATAGGAAACACTTGGAGATAGTTTTACAAGAATTTATTAATAATGGAATTGTGATTAACAAAAATAAAATAGTATTAGAAAAGCAAGATATAGAATTTTTAGGAATGTATATCAAGTCAGGTACAATACAATTACAAGATCATATAGCTAAAAATGTCTTAGAATTTCCAGATAAGTTAGAAGACAAAAAACAGTTACAAGCATTTTTAGGATTGTTAAATTATGCAAGAAATTTTATCCCTGATTTAGGAAGGAAAATAGCAGTATTACATAGTAAAACTAGCAAAACAGAACAAAAATATTTTAATAGTGAAGATATAAAATTAGTTCAAAATATAAAGGAAGAAATTACTAAATTTAAGCCATTAACCTTACCATTAGATGATAGTTACAAAATAGTTGAAACAGATGCTTCATCATTAAGATAGGCAAGTATATTATACCAGAAAAAGCAGGGAGTCACCAAAGTCTAATGAACAAATTTGTAGATATTCATCAGGAAAATTTAGTGATATACAGTCAAGATTATCATCAACAGATTTAGAAATTTTAGGGATAATTAATTCACTTGAAGCATTTTCTTTATTTTTACATAATGAAGTATTTACAATTAGAACAGATTGTCAAAACATAGTTTCTCATTATAATAAGATACATGCTAATAAACAGGCAGCCCGAAAATGGGTTAATTTTGTTGATTCAATTTTAGGAAATGGTTTTAAACCAATTGTTGAACATATAAAAGGTAATGACAATACATTAGTTGATATCTTATCAAGATTAATTTGTTGAACAGGTATGGAATATCGTGGACCATCATCAGCAAATAGCACAATGCCACAAGGCAAAAGAGCTTCTTTCAATAGCATAGTGATGCACCATCAACCTCCACCATTCAGTGGATTTCAAAATAGCATAAGCAGACCAGCATCACCACCAGTACCTACTTTCAACTTTAATGGCAATATTGTTGAAGGAATCAGAAATCCAACTCTAAGATATAGGTCAAGGGTACCATGGCTTTCTGATAGGCAACAGGTTCTCTTAGATAATTTTTGAAATATCCAAATCAAGCAGCCAAACATGAGGTTAGGCCATAAAAAATTAATTAGAGCCTTGGAACAAGAGTTTGATAGCTTTAATTTTAATTTCCACCAAAGCCAGCAGCATATTCATTCTCTTGAGCACAATCTTCAAGTCATCTCCAGAGACCATGAGTCATTACTTGTTAAGTTTACCACAATGAACCAAGAACTCCAATCTCTTATAATGTAGCAAAAGGCAAGTGACACCTTGAAAAGAGAATTGAAGATAGGTTTAGAAATTGATCAGTATAAGAATAAAGGAAAAAAGGTTATTGAACCTGATAGGATTTTTACTACTCATGTGAACGGGCTTAAATCTCCTATTTTACTTGCAAGAATCACAAGGTTATTGTAGTATAAACGGATTTCGCAAGGTCATCTCCACAGGGATTATTAAATAATTCGAACTAATCAGATTCCATTTAATTATTGTAAAGTAGAAATTGAAGTGATTGATTTTATAACCTAATTAAAATAAAAACAAATTTAATGAATTAAAATAAACAATCTGCAATATTAGAGCTAGAGAGAAAAGAAAACAGTTTTGGGAGAATAAAATTAAGAAAGCACTAGGGTTCCACCATCACCTAGCAATCCTGAATTTTTACCCATTACTTATGATCTATACATGCTACTTTGAAGGTTAGATTTTCCTAATTCATATTCTACTTGGAACCTCCAACATAGAACGTATATCTAACATGCAACCCGTCCGGACGTTCGGATCAAATCTGAACATGAAAGACTCATTATGCTTTATGAAAATCCTTTGAAAAACCATGCAATCCTTAAGACGTGATATTCATCCTAAGTGAAATTACAATTATTAATCACAAGAAGTCAGCGTCAATTTCAGGGAACCTTCCGACCAAAATTGCATCAAATTACTTTTCTAAAGATCCTAATGGTGATCAGGCATTAAGACAATTAGATAGTTTTTATCCCGATGATTAACAATTCAAAGTATGCATGCAATCAATCATAAGCAATTAGATAAAAATCACATATTCATGCTAAGGCTCAAGGCTTCGCCCTAGCAATAGAAATTAGTTCCGCATATTCATAATTGAAATCATAGAAATATCTATTAAGAAAAGGATTGAAAACACCTTCAAGTAGAAAATCTTCAAAACCCTAGCACTTCTCTCTGTCTCCAATATTGCATAAAATAAAGCGTGTCTAAAACTGTAGACGGCCAAGCAATATATTGCTAAGCCACCACACAAACCCTAGCAAACTAAAATTAATAAAAACCCTAAATAAAAATAGTAAAATTCGTCTAAAATCTGAACAGCCACGTTTTGACCCATAAGCTGCTCCAAAACTGGCCCAATATAGCTGGATTTAATTTTTGGAATATTCTGAACACTTTTCCAGAAGGCCACGAACCCATCCGAGGTCATCTTGGGCTCCAAAAACGCAATTTAAGCCCAAAAACGTCATTTTCCAGCACTGCGCACTGCTTCTTTACTTCATCGCCAGAAAATAACCGCTTGGTGGAAAAATCCCAAATTTTGATACGATCAAGCTAAGTGACTCACGAACGTCCTCCAACTGGAATTACTCCAAAATTCGTTCATTTGGTCCTGTTTTGCTCCAGAGGAAGTCGAAAGTCCTATATTGAAAATACAATTCAAAGTATCAAATTTCTTCTAATATATTAACCAAAATATACTAAGATTAGGGTAAAATATATAATATAAAATCTACTCATCAAATACCCCCAAACTTAGCTTTTTGCTTGTCCTCAAGCAAAACAAGACTCAAACAAAAATAAAAACTTAACAAACTAGACAACTAGCTAAAATTAACTGACAAAAATTTTCATCTTCAAAGTTGCAATCCATAGCAAATTTTAAAAACTAGAACATTTTTTTCAAAAGTTCCAACCAATCCCACCACAGAGTCTAAGCCATTTAGAATCAATTAGAAAAGAATTCACAAACTTCCTTTGGTGTAAAGTAAACCAACATAATTAAGGAGACTCGACTAAAACACTTACCTCTCGTCCTTATTTATTTCACACATAGTAACTTTAAATATAACTCTCTTTCTTTGTTCTTTTTTTTTTCTTTTTCACTTTTTTTTTCTCTTTTTTTTTTCATATATAACATTTTTTTTTTCCAGTAACAGTAGTGGTCGTGCAATGTCGGTTCACTTAAGCTTTCAATCCAACCGATGTAGCGAGCTTTAGGTCAATGACTCCCAAACCACTAGGGCTTTAGGGCACTAGGTGTAGAACACCCCTAAGGACTTATTAACCCGAGCTGAAAAGGCTACGAAACCAACTAACCACCCTGCCTCATGCCAAAACTCTACCGTTTGACGCGAGAATCACTGCTGATTAGGCAGGACTGGCCCGGTTACTAGGCAAAACCTCGGGTGAGACAATTATTACTTTTTTCACAATAATAACTTACTTTACTTAAAACAAAAATTAAAAATTAAAAATAAACTTAGACTAAAAGCAAGTATTTCAATCTCACTCCCCACTAACCATGTTGGTGTGATGTGCAAAGTTCAAAGTATAATTCATGAATTAGTGTCTAAGCAACGATAAATAGAAAAGACTCTAATGTGGGATTAATCTTTACCATGTCCATTTGTTCTAACGTTTAAAATAATCTATGGATATTAACTTAGGAATAATGAAAATTTTTAAACGGACACAACAATAAAAAAAAATAAAACAAAAATTTACTTTCCCACCCCCAAACTTATTTCACACTTTGTCCTCAAGGTGTGGAAACTAAAATAAATATGATAAAAATGAAATAAACTTAAACTAAAATATAATAATTATAAAAGTGAAAATGATTAACAAAACTAAAACAAAGAAAGATAGTACCTGGCTGGACAATGAAGTGGCTGGACAAAACGCCACTAACCTATTCATGGAGAACCGGCCCACAACCAAGGCCATGTGCACGGCACATGTGCACCAACTCCTAGCACCAGCTGTGGAAAAACATTGGATTCGCTTCTTGGAAAGGCATGCAATTGGCATGCCGTGTGACAAGTGGTGTGCAGCTGGCGTGCAAAATGGTTTTAAAATAAACTTATCAGACAACAGTGCCCACTTGATGGAGATATGACCAAAGCCTGCATGCCTTTCAAAAAAAATCCTGCAAATATCGGGTCCCGAGCCGAACGGCTCTTCTTTGCCTTTAATGCAAACCGAGTCCCATGAATAGACCTGGGAATACACCAGCCTTGTACACGTGGCATGCATCACGGCAGTGAGCTACTTAAGATTCCAAAGGAACGGTTAAGATTAACCTTACTTTTCTGAAAGCTGTGTAAACCCCAAGTCTCTCATTTTTCAATAGAGACTGAAAGATATCTCTCGGCCCCCAATTCATCGCTCTACTCTCTTTATTTCACAGCAATCCTTCTTCCTCCCATTTATTTTTCCGCATTTCTTTAGGACCCCATTTCTCTGTCTGAAAAATATTTCCCCCACATTCCTTCTCAACCCTTGCAGCCCCCATCCGTAGTCATCCATAATCCAACAACAACACACCTCCGTGAGTACCCAGCCGTGGTGGAAAATCGGAACAACTGAAACCCAAAGGTAAAATCATCCTCCAATCTTTTGTTTTCATGTCTCAGATTTATTTGTTTTAGAGGAATAGAACTAAATCTAACACATGCATGTCGTTTTAGCTGTGTGAGGACCCCCAATAATTTCGAATCCGAGACAACAACACAAGAACAACACCCTGAATCGCCATCTCAACTCCACAAAATCATGTCGCCCAAGCCTCAAGACATCAGAAATTTGAGTACCATTTTGCACATGCCACGGTAATCACTCTTACCTAGCTCAAGATCCATGTCTCTTAGCTTGCGAAATTGTTTTGCAAGTTATCTTTGCGTGATGAGTCTCCGTAGAAGCTTACACAGATTTTTTTTTTCGTAGTAGGTGTCCGAGATGCACAAAGAGACAGAAGAGACAGAGTCGAAAAGCTTCCAAACTCACGGATCTGCAAATGTTGAGGTAAAACCCGTAACCCTTTTTATTGATGGACTATGATCTGATACTTGAAAAATAACCCCTACTGTGACTGAAAAATAACACTCAAATCCAGCATACACCCGTGAGAAAACAAGCTTAAGCTGCCGGTCTAATAGTCCCAGAAAGCAAAATCAACAGCAACTGTCGCGGCCTCTGTATGTCATCTAGGTACAGATCTCGTTCGTCTGCTTTTGCTAAGCTCAACATTTACAAGTTCAACAACAGTTCATTAGAATGCCATATGTAACCTGTATATACTCATATTGTTGGTCTTTATGTAGGGGTATACGGATCCATGATAGAGCCAAGGACACAGAAGTAAACACACAAAAGCAACGGAGGAAAACAGCACAGGCCGCATGACCCAGATCGATGCATCTGGGAGGTAAAATTCGAATCCCTGCAAGTGTAGTTGTTGTAGATCTGGTAATAATATTTGTACTCAGTTCTGTGGTGTATGGATCTGTGATAATTGTGCTTCCTCCATGCATCGCAAAACTGAGCTGCAGAAATTAACTGCTCTAAATTCTGTTTATGTGCTGGATCTGCAACAATCACCCCCAAACTTGCATCTGTGAATGGCTTTTTATGTTGACTGCTTTAAATTTCCAGCATAGTGTAGATGTGGTTGATGTGAACGTTAGACTTGCTGCTGGGTGCAGGATTCCAGCATAGGACGCGCTTTAATTTCCACGTTGACAACCTGCAATTAACCAATATGCGTCAAAAAATTAAAATAAAATCAAATAAACTGGGTAAATAAATCAATATGCAATCTTCCATTTTTTTTCAATTTTTTTTTTTAATTTTTTTAATTTTTTAATTTTAATTTTTTTATGTATGTTTTTTTTTTTATATTAAAGAGAAAATCAAACGAAAATTAAAATTAGGAAAGAGTTTAGAAAAATTGGGTTGCCTCCCAATAAGCGCTTTATTTTAAGTCTGTAGCTAGACGTTGCGGAAATTCGGTGGCTAGATCGCTGGTGCCTTCAGAGTCAAAGACTCGTATGCAGTATCAAAGGGTGACTCCACATATGGTTTCAGCCTGTGACCATTCACCTTGAATGTGTTGCCTTGAGCCGCATTAGATATTTCAACTGCTCCATGAGGAAAGATTTTAGTAACCAAATACGGCCCAGTCCAGCGAGATTTCAATTTCCCGGGAAACAACTTTAGCCTTGAACTGAATAGCAACACCTTTTGCCCTGGCTGGAATTCTTTTCGTAAAATTTGACTATCATGAAACGCCTTAGTTCTTTCCTTGTAGATGCGAGAATTTTCATAAGCACCCTGACGAATTTCCTCCAGCTCATTGAGCTGCAATTTACGTTGTTCTCCAGCTGAGTCATATGAAAAATTTAGCTCTTTAATTACCCAGTACGCCTTATGTTCAAGTTCCATAGGTAGATGACATGTTTTCCCATAAATGAGTCGAAATGGTGACATCCCAATAGGAGTTTTATAAGTTGTTCTGTAGGCCCACAACGCATCATTTAATTTTAAACTCCAGTCTTTTCGTGTTGAACCAACTGTTTTCTCCAAAATGCGTTTTAATTCTCTGTTTGAAACTTCCACTTGACCAGATGTCTGTGGATGATAAGGTGTAGCCACACGATGATTAATCCCATATTTTGCCAACAAATTAGCAAATGGTTTATTAATAAAGTGCTTCCCCCCATCACTAAGAATAACGCGTGGAATTCCAAAACGCGGAAATATAACCCCTTGGAGGAACTTCAGGACCACTGATCCCTGATTAGTTGGTGCTACAATGGCCTCGACCCATTTAGAAACATACTCCACAGCAACTAAAATATATTGGTTCCCATGGGACGATGGAAATGGTCCCATGAAATCAATACCCCAAACATCAAATAATTCAACAATCAAAATACTTTGCTGGGGCATCTCATTCCTTTTGGACTGGTTGCCGACTCTTTGACACCTATCACAAGCCTTGCACCAATTATATGCATCCTTAAAAAGTGTAGGCCAAAATAACCCACTCTGCAAAAAAATTTCTGCTGTTCTTTTCTGCCCAAAATGTCCTCCACAAGCAAAATGATGAGCAAACCTTAAAACACTTTCCTGTTCGGCTTCAGGAATACACCTGCGAATAATCTGGTCTGGGCAATACTTAAATAGGTATGGCTCGTCCCAGAAATAATGCTTCACATCTGATAAAAACTTCTTTTTCTGCTGCAACGTTAAATCTGGATGCACTACCCCTTTAACCAAATAATTAACCATATCAGCAAACCATGGTGTACGGAATTGGACTGCAAATAGCTGTTCATCTGGAAAACTCTCCCTCAGTGGTAGGGAATCCTCTTCTGAAGCTGTGGGAATAATTAATCTAGATAAATGGTCAGCCACCACATTTTCACGACCCTTTTTATCTTTGATTTCTAAGTCAAACTCTTGCAATAAAAGAATCCAACGTATCAATCGAGGTTTAGCATCTTTTTTAGACAACAAATATTTCAAAGCTGCATGATCTGTATAAACAATCACTTTAGCCCCAACTAAATACGATCGAAATTTTTCCAATGCAAAAACAATTGCCAACAATTCCTTCTCTGTGGTAGCATAGTTTAGTTGTGCATCATTGAGGGTTCGACTAGCATAATAAATAACTTGGGGAAGTTTATCTGTCCGCTGTCCAAGAACTGCCCCCACTGCATAATCTGATGCGTCACACATCAATTCAAAAGGTAAGCTCCAATTAGGAGCTGCAATAATGGGTGTTGTGGTGAGTAGTGTCTTTAACTTCTTGAAAGCCTCCAAACAAGCCTCATAAAAAACGAATGGAGCGTCTTTAGCCAATAAATCACACAAGGGTCGGCTAATCTTGGAGAAATCCTTGATGAACCGTCTATAAAACCCGGCATGGCCAAGAAAAGATCGAACACTCTTAACAGTTGTCGGGGGTGGCAACTTTTCAATTGCATCAATTTTAGCCTTATCAACTTCAATACCCCTGTTAGAAATCAAGTGGCCCAAGACAATTCCCTGCCTAACCATGAAGTGACACTTTTCCCAGTTTAAAACCAGGTTGGTCTTAATGCATCTTTCCAGAACTAGAGATAAATTCTGCAAACATTGGTCAAAAGAATCCCCAAAAACAGAAAAATCATCCATAAATACCTCAACTACATGTTCAACTAACCCGGTAAATATGCTCATCATGCAACGCTGAAACGTGGCAGGTGCATTGCACAACCCAAAAGGCATTATTCTATATGCGAAAGTCCCAAAAGGGCAAGTAAAGGTTGTCTTTTCTTGATCTTCAGGGGCAACTGGAATCTGGTTATACCTTGAATAGCCATCCAAGAAACAGTAGAAAGCACGACCAGCCAACCTTTCCAACATTTGATCAATGAATAGCAATGGAAAATGATCTTTTCTAGTTCCAGCATTGATCTTTCTATAATCAACACACATGCCACCCAGTAGTCAAGCGAGTAGGCACAAGTTCATTATTATCATTTTTCACAACTGTAATACCAGAACGCTTTGGCACCACTTGAGTTGGACTAATCCACTTACTATCTGAAATGGGATAGATCATCCCAGCATCTAAAAGCTTCATAACTTCATTATGAACAACTTCTTTCATAATTGGATTCAACCGACGTTGAGCGTCAATGGCAGGTTTTACTCCATCATCCAACAAAATTTTGTGCATACAAATTGTAGGGCTGATCCCTTTAATGTCAGCTATAGTCCAGCTAATTGCATCTTGATGGCTCCTTAAAATGCGCAACAGTTTATCTTCTTCTGTTGAAGATAAATCAGCAGCTATAATAACTGGCAGCGAAGAATCTACACCCAAATAAGCATATTTCAAATGTTCTGGAAGAACCTTCAACTCCAGTTTAGGTGGCTGTACCTTAGAGGGCTGCAACAACTTCTTGGGTTCCCCCAAACTCTAAAAAACGGGCCTCCAACGTGGGGGTTGAAAAGGAACACTTTCCAAAGCTGAAACATACTCAAAAACCTCTTCATCTTCTGTATTTTTGTTCTCAAACCCAAGCAACACATTTAACAATGGATCAGATGTCAAATGTGGCATAATTTCAGACTGTAATAAGCTGTCAAGCACATCAACACGCATACAATCATGCACATCACCTGGCCTTTTGGTAGCTTCAAATAAACTGAACACAACAGATTGATCTTGCACTCTAAGTGTAAGTGTCCCAGCCTCTACATCAATTAACGTTCTGGTTGTAGCCATGAAGGGACGTCCCAAAATAATCGGTGTTTGCATATCTTCATCCATATCCAAAAATCACAAAATCTGCAGGAAGATAGAGATTATCCACTTTAATAATTAGGTCTTCTATAATACCCCTTGGATAAGCAACTGATCGATCCGCTAGTTGTAGAATAACTGATGTTGGCTTGATTTCTCCTTGTCCTAGTCTCTGAAAAATAGAAAAATGCATTAAATTAATACTAGCACCTAAGTCAATTAAAGCACGTTTAAAATGAGAATTTCCAATTGTGCATGAAATTGTAAAACTCCCTGGATCTTGTTTCTTTGGGGGCAATTTGTGAAGCAGAACAGCGCTGAACTGTTCTGTAAGAATTACTTTCTCAAAATCAACAAGCTTCTTTTTCTTTGTGCAAACATCCTTAAAAAACTTGGCATAAGACGGAATGTTCTTGATGGCATCAATTAACGGCAGATTAATCTGAACATTAGACAAAGTCTTCATAAAATCTGTCAATTGTTGATCTTTAACTTTAGGCTTCAACCGTTCGGGATACGGCATAGGTGGCTCATAAACACGATCCTCAACAATATCTCCTGCGCTATTTTCAGAACTGGTAACCGGCTGTTCTGAATCTTTCGAATTGGCAGATTTTTCAACATTCCCTGAATCTGTTTTTGGCTGTGAATCCACCCGCGAATTTAGAATGTAATTTTCATCCCTGTTATCAAAACTTTTGCCGGAACGTAAAACTCTAACTGCCTTGCAATCTGCCCCGCCCCTAGGATTTGGTTCGGTTTGGCTGGGAAATGTAACTGGTGCCCTTCCAGAAACCTGCAAAGCAATCTGCCCCACCTGTTTTTCGATGTTTTTCACTGTTGCCTGTAGATTTTGAATTTCTTGAGTGGTAGTATTTGCCAATTTTTCAATTGCAACCTCCCAAGCAGCCTTATGCGCAGGTTGCTGTACCTGCTGTTGAAATTGAGGCCTAGTGTGCTGTTCCTTATCCCACCTTAGATTAGGATGATCTCTCCAACCGGGGTTGTAGAAATTAGAATATGGGTCATATCTAGGCTGCTGGAAATTGTTAAATGCATTAACCTGCTCAGCTGTAAAATCTGGTGAAACATCTTTATGTGGGCAGCTCATAAAATCGTGAGTTATCATGTTGCAAATGCTGCAGGCAGCTTGTAAAGGCTGCTGTACAGCAACCTGAGAACCTGGCATTCTCTGTAATAACATGTCAAATTTTGCGTCAAGCCTTTTCTCCATTTTTTCAATTTGTGCTGTAACATATGGAGAACCATTTGACATCTCAAAAACAGACCTAGATTGTGGCTGCTCAACTGCCCACTGCTGAGTATCTGCTGCCATTTTTTCAAATAACA